TATTTCATAAACAAAATCAAAATTTATTTTAAGTAAAATTATGCTAAAACAAAATTTTTTCACATTTTATCGTTAATGCATTTCCTATAAATGTTGAAACAATATTTTGTTTTGAATTTTGTATTTATGATATGAATTTTCATATATTAATACATGAAAAACTTAATTTACATAAGTAACAGCAATACCAAAAAACTTACTAATACAACTTATCTTGCAGCCGCAGTTCATTACTTCAAACGTTTTCGGTCATGTTAAATGACCTTTCTCAAGAAAAAGAAAGCAAATAAAAGATAAAAAACTGTATAAATCGAACACTTAGTACAAACGAACACTTAGTACAAACGAACAAGCTTTTCGAATGTTTTTGAACTAGCCTATAATCCGTTGCAATTTATGACGTCAGTTTTAACATTGCAACGAAAGTATAAACAATCCTACAGATTATATAAATATCTAAAAATCATAAGTACAGAGAGTTACCACCTCCAATCATTGCGCATAAATATATAACTTAGGATATAAGAATGCATAGTATCTGCTTTCTTCGATTATTAAGGCTTTATATTAAGCTTGAGGACCATGCTGCCGATATTTTTGTCGATTCTCGAAAGTTGATTGCAAGGCCTTTATGGTTTGCTTTACAAATCTGCCAGGCTTCCGTGTAATACCGGTGTTTACGATCTCGAACTACCTGCAGTAGTCTTGCTTGGTCCCATTCGGCTTTGACGTCTTGCAGGACTGCTAAAACGTAGGTGGCCAGCGCAGTGCATGGTTGTTCCTTTCTTATATTTCCTTGGTGTTCTGCTAACCTGTCCTTGATACATCTTCCTGGCACACTATGAAGGTACACTATGTGAAATGATACTAGCAACGCTAGAAAACGCACTGTTGCCGAAGTATGAAGCGCAAATGATAATGTATGTTCAATACTTATATTATGTTCTGGAATGCTAAGCCCAATATACAGAGTTTTATAAAGGATATAAATGACAATAGATTCGGTCTTGAGATAGAGTTAGAGCAAGAAAACGATAAGACCATACATTTCTTAGATCTGTATATACAAATTAACAGCTTAGTAGGGTTCACTACTAAAGTCTACAGAAAGCCCTCATATAACCCTACATTTATTCCTTGGATTTCTCACGATCCTCCAGTATATAAAATGGCTGCATTCCGAGCATTAATCGCAAGAGCTTATTTGCATTGTAGCAATGCAAAAGATAGAACGGATGAACTGAATTATATATATAACTTAGCCAGAAAGTATGGGATTAATGTTAATGCTATTATCAGCAAGAGCATAAAGCGCCATAAGAAGAGAAGTTTACCTAATAATGAAGGAATTATAATGCTGGATTATAATGCATAGCTGACTAATATCTTTCGACGCATCAGAAAAGCCAAGAACAAAAGAATCCTATATAAAAGAACCCCCACCACTTACCAACTATTATGATCCGATAAAGATGAAGTGGACAGAAACACACTCCCCGGTGTCTATAAAATTCCAGTTACAAACTCACGGTGACTTAGTAAATTAATGTATATAGGAGCCACAGGAAGATGTATCAAGGACAGGTTAGCAGAACACCAAGGAAATATAAGAAAGGAACAACCATGCACTGCGCTGGCCACCTACGTTTTAGCAGTCCTGCAAGACGTCAAAGCCGAATGGGACCAAGCAAGACTACTGCAGGTAGTTCGAGATCGTAAACACCGGTATTACACGGAAGCCTGGCAGATTTGTAAAGCAAACCATAAAGGCCTTGCAATCAACTTTCGAGAATCGACAAAAATATCGGCAGCATGGTCCTCAAGCTTAATATAAAGCCTTAATAATCGAAGAAAGCAGATACTATGCATTCTTATATCCTAAGTTATATATTTATGCGCAATGATTGGAGGTGGTAACTCTCTGTACTTATGATTTTTAGATATTTATATAATCTGTAGGATTGTTTATACTTTCGTTGCAATGTTAAAACTGACGTCATAAATTGCAACGGATTATAGGCTAGTTCAAAAACATTCGAAAAGCTTGTTCATTTGTACTAAGTGTTCGATTTATACAGTTTTTTATCTTTTATTTGCTTTCTTTTTCTTGAGAAAGGTCATTTAACATGACCGAAAACGTTTGAAGTAATGAACTGCGGCTGCAAGATAAGGTGTATTAGTAAGTTTTTTGGTATTAATAGTATGCAGTCTCGAACGAATTGTAACAGCAATAATGTTATTAATTAGTTAAATAATATTTACTAACAATCCACGAAAAACCTTTTTTTACGAGTGTTATGTCACTATTAAATTCCACAAGTACTTTCGACCTCCACCGAGGTCTGCTTCAGGTGGTGACTGGCCGTGTTTCGACCCGACCGTCGTAAGGATGTTGCCAACGATGTAAGTAAATAAATGTGCGCGTCGGGTTTCACCCCTCTAACCGCCATTGCTCGAACTCCTCGAATAAATACTTCCACGCCTGTACAAGTGTTTCCCCATCCCTGTAGTTGATGCAGTTGCCCCCCATGATAGCTTTGTGAATCTCCCAGGCCTCCAGGTGACGGATGTGATCTGCGCGGAACGCGTGTCTGATAAGTTTGGTGTTCCGGAAGTCCACCCTTATTTCAGGGTCGGTGACATAGGTTGATAAGGCAGTGGTGTGTCTTTTATGCTTAATATCAGCTTGGTGTTCACGTATTCGTTTCTGTGTTGATCGGATGGTGGAGCCAATGTAAACTAAGTCTCTATTGAATCTGTCGTCCCATATGGGAATGGAGTAAACACCTGGGGCCCTGGTGAGATCCATTGGTCCTTCGCGTTGCGCAGCAAGTCGTAAAGCGAGCCAGTTCTTAAGTACGCGATTTTGGTGCTGCTGTTGCTAGCGATCTCCCTATATAGGGGGTCTAGATGCCGGTTGAAGCGGACGACCACGCATCTCGCGTTCCCATCCGGTTGGCGGTTGTCGTCCGGCGATGGTAGGGGGCAGTCCCTGCGGCGAGGGGGGCGGTGGGCGCAAGCACGTGCTAAACCGCGGACCAAGGCTTTGCTATAACCATGATCCATGGCAATTTTTTCTATGCGTCGGATCTCCGACCATGCGTCGCGCACATGTGTGTGGTGCGTGAAGGCCCGTCTGGTAAGGGCCCGGAAAGCCGCCATTTTGTAGACAAAGGGGTCAGAGGAGTTCGTGGGGATGAACAGCGGGAGTTGGTCAGGTTTATGGTAGACACTCGTTTCTATCTTGCCCCCTGAGACGGATGTTAACATTAAGAAAATGAGCACTCGAGTTGCTAACCTGATCTAAGCCGAGGGTGAAGCCATATGCATTGTCGTTCATACACGACAAAAAATCGTCCAGATTGGGAGAGGTTTTCCACAGTATAAAGATGTCGTCCACGTATCTTTGGTATAGACTGATGTTTGGTAAGAATTTGGGCAACCCTTTCTCCTCCAATTGTCTCACTGCCAGCTCGCCAAGGTCCCCCGAAAGCGGGCTGCCCATGGGGACACCTCGTCTTTGTAAATAAGTAGCCTCGTTGAACTGGAAGACCGAAGTGTAGCACATAAGATGCACCAGCTCCAATATCTGCTCATGGTGCCAGAGTGCATCATTCTCCCGCAGTAGCAGGTTCCTAAGAGCGCAGAAGCATGGCTGCAGCCTTATCGAAGGGAAAAGGGACACGAAATCCATGACCGTGAAGTGCAGGTCCTCACCAACCTCGACCCGCCAAACAAACATTCTCATTTATAAATATAGATTACTAAAATTATCACTTAAAATGGCAGTCTAACCACCTACCTCTAGTCAAATTACTTTATGACAAATTATTAAATTAGTCTTATTATAGCCCAATAATATGGCAGATCATTTGACATTAATTAAATATTGGGATTGTGGATTTATTATTTAATTGCTCAGTTATCATTAGTTTTTTAATTATTAATTTGAAGTATAAAATACTATAGCACTTATTTTAGTAATATAGATACCAAGTTAATGAATAGAAAAGAAAGATTATATTAAAAGTAACTAAATTCAGATCAATAGAAATGTATAAAATAACATAGTCCATAAAAATTTTAAGTTAACAGCTTTTAATAAAAGGATTTAGGACTAGGAAGTTTTGAATTGCCTAAATATAAAACTTTTTTAAATTTAAAAATTTGTTGAGTTGAAATTTCATTTGGCAGCTATTACAGGTTTTTTCTCCTACCTTCTGGAAATTCTCTGCATATCTTCAGATTGGAAAACATTGGATTAGTTGCTTATCAAAAATGTCTTTTAAAAGTTTATTTTTCATTGAACAGACTATAAATATATAAATATCAAATATTAAATACTAAAATAAACAAAAAAATTAAATAGAAATGATTTTAATACTATTGACACAGGTTTGAAAGTTAATCACTTAACATCTAAACCAAACCTTCTACATAGTTCTCTTGAAATTTATTATATAGAGAGGAAGAAACTATTGGAAACTTGCCTGTTTTTAGTAGGAGTGCATACTAACATCACTTAAAGCATGGCTTGACACACACACACACACACACACACACACACACAATACACAATACACAGAAGAAAACTAAAGGCAAAACATGTGTCCATATACAGAAATGTTAGAATTGGGAAACAGTTTAATGACCACTTATGTGCTCACAAAACTGTTTCCTAAATTCTAATGTAATTCTGTAGAATAATTGTTCTCATTTACAAAAACATTATTTATGCATTCTTCTAAAAAACAAACACAACATTCATGTGTAAATTATACTGTATATCATTAATATATTTATAAAAACCTGTAATGGCTAGATATCTTCAGTCAGTATCATTAAAATGTCATAAGTTTTTTTAATGTTTCATACATAGTTATTATTTCAAAAATTTTTTGAAATGGCCTGAATTATTGTACTATGATAATTATAAGAAACAAATTTTTCATGAAATATTTACTTATATTTTAATGAAAATTAATATATTTTTTTATTAGGTTAGATTATTTCCAAAGAGATTGTGTCTTTATGACTCAAAGACAGTTAATAAATGAAGCAAGCAGACATTATATAAATCAGGTAAAAACAAATTTTAAGATGTAGTTATAATTACACTTCTAGCAGATGAATAATGTCTATATTATATAAATGTTTACTTAGATTTGTACCACTATAGTCTGAAAATTCATCAGTGTTTGATTTTAAGATGTTAATCTTGTGTTTTACTATAATATTTCATATTTACATATAAATATGAAACAATATCTACATTTACAGAAAATAAAATTATTTGGCATTATGCTTTTCCCTTGGGCTGTTATAAGGTTAGTAAATAATTAGAATTAAGTTAATTTTAAAATTAATTATTAAATTTACTATGAAATGGCAGCATAACTGCCTACCTTTAGTCAAACTGATTTATTTCTAATTATTTGTTTCCTTATAATAACCCTATAATAATTTGACAGTTCATTTGGAATATTTGCTATTGCAAAATCAGAAATCCAAATACAGCAGAATAAGACTTAAAATTAGTCATTATGTACATATGTACAAAACAGCATGGGAAGATACATAGTACTAGAAAAATGTTATTAAAATTTTTCATGTTTTATATAAAAATATGCTTAAGAATCATTTTTCATTTTATATTATTTATCAAAAAACTTGTTTATTGACAAAACTTTGATTTCTTGATTTACATCAAACAAAAAGCATGAGTGTGTAATCTTTAAAGAATTTTACCAAATAAGGATAAGTCTAAAAATTTGTTAGTTTTTGGTTTTAAGAAGAGATCTCTACTACTATAAAAATTCACAGAAGAACAAAAATTTTTTAAATGTAAAATGTTAAACTGTAGATTTCTAACACAAAAAGTTGTTTATCTTTACTGACTTCCATTTTTGACAATTTCTGGAAAAGGATTTTTCCATAGAAAAAGCATTAAATTTTTAATATCATCTGCTGGAGATCTTATACATAATCAAAGAAATTATAGTCAACCTTAAATTTGTATATATGACTGAGTTAGTATTATTGCTAATTAACCAAATGATCACTGTAATTAATCAGGCTAATTAAGTGTTATATTAATGATTAACTATTAAGTAATTGATACTAGAGGTAAGCATTAGTCGCCATCTCTTATAAAATTTAATAATTATAATATTTATGAAGTAATTTAAAATATTCTGGAAGAAAAGAATCAGCCTGGACAGGACTCAAACTCACAACTCCTGCTTACCATGCGAATGTATTACCAGTTACGTTACCCAGACCTTTGAGTGATTCTTTGCTTCCTTATATTGATAATTATATTTAATTATCAATATATCAATTTAATATAATCAGTTAATCATGGATGGTAATATTGATAATTATATTTAATTATCAATATTACCATCCATGAATACCTCTAGTACCAAATTACTTAACAGTTAATCATTAATACAACACTTAATTAGCTCAATGGTACTTTTCTGTTAACCAGACACCAGCTGATATGTACAGCAATGGGTAAGATTCAAGCTCTGAGTGAGGTGTTTCACATCACTCCAGAATTGTTGACTCTGGGAGATATTTACCTCCAAAGGTCAGTTTTTAACATGTATCAGTATACTGCCTATTCTACATGCTTCATATGTAGTCATTTGCTTTAGTGCTTGCACAGAACTGCTCTGTTGGGGGCAAGCCCACATACCCTCTAAAACTGTATAACATCAAGTCCTTCACAAACAGTCAAGTGGGCTACTCAAAACCGGCACAGTTGCATGGGCTAAATAGTTAAATGCAAAAGTCTTAGTGGAGTGATATGGCCAGCGATATATCACACATCGGATTAAAGTTACAACTGGCATCCCATTAATAGAAAAGAATCAGCCTGATTAATTACAGCGATCATTTAGTTTATTATTAATACATTGGCAGGCCTCGGAGTCGCTCACTTTTCAGGTCATTTTCTCACTTTTCTCACTTTTTTGGTCATTTTCACGTGCTTAATTAAGATGTGGGACAAATCAAAAATAATTTTAAAGACTAAATAATTTTAAAAAATTAATTTCAAAATTAATTTTAAATAATTTTAATTATCTGCCAAATTATAGGACTATCGGAATAGAATTTTCTGGAAGAAAATACGCAGCCCTGAGTGGGACTCAAAATTGCAACTGTTACTCATTGTTGTTAGGTTATAGGAAACAAAAATTTATTTCACGTATGTAAAAATATCCTTTATGAACTTAAAAAAATCCCTGTCATTACAAATTCAGAAGCCAGTGTTGAGTAAAGTTATGTACTCATGCCATATTTTCATTATTCGCCAAAATCTACCTCTTCCGAATTACATTTCCTTGTACGGAGTTTAAAAATAAGTATTCTAAGCATCCCTGCGTTTTTTGCTGTTTTCTAAGAAAATCCCTCTGTAGGGAAAAAAACACTAGGCGGAGGGATTACCCTCTCAAGCTGACAACACTGCTGCTGCTTTTAAATTCAAAATATATAATTATTAAAATTAACACAAGATAATAGCGTAACCTCCTACCACTAGACAAATTATTTCGTTTCTGACCATTTAGTTATCCTTGTTACAGCCCAATAATTTGGCAGATTATTTGATTTTAATTAACAATCGGGTTATGGAGTTGTTTACAAAAATATTTTTTTACTTGATTTATCTTTAAATAATTTCATAAACTTGAGTTAAATAATGATTTCATAGCATATTGTTAACGTTAAATCACATCTATATCTTCCTAAATGTATGTTTAAATTGATTATAAGTATAATTATTCCATGTAGTAAGTATTATTTTCATAAAATGTGTGATTACTTGTGAAATATCCATTTTTTAATCTTTTTTCTTATGCTGATTATAATTGTGCATTAATTGAGAGACTGAAAAAGTAAACGAAAATGTAAATTCATATTTATATATAAAATTTACCAAATAAATTAAAAGATTCGAAGTGTTGTAAAAAGTACAGCACCTGATTGCTTGTGAGAAAAATTTTCACAAGCTTGCCAAAAGGTTAACATTGTTGTAACAATGTTTTTATTCATCTGCAGGAGAAAGTTCCTTGTTACTTATGAAATCATTAATAAAATATTATTTTATTTATATTATTTGAAATATATTTATTTCAGATTTATTATTTTATTTTGAAATCAATATTTACACATCTCAAAGCATTAAAAAATAAACAGTTTCTGATAATGATAAATATTCCAGTATAGCCAAAATAGTGAAATCAGCATTCCCATGAGAGAGAGGGTCAATTTCACTCTGGGCACTTTCTCCATCAGTGTTGGAAAAAATACTTAATTCACTTTTGATTGTTAAGGAGGGACTAAACATGTATGACCAAAGCCCCACCTTGTACCCATTACAAAGGACTACTGAAATTAGCTCCCTCAGCGCATAGAAATTATCAAGAATAATTGGAAAATGAAAAGAAGTTAAAAGAATAAGAGAAACAGAAAAAAAGAGCACAGAAACATTTTGAAGAACAACAAAAGAAAACTGTTCGTAACATGAAGATTATAGAACTGCAGCTGAGTTTAAACCAGAAAAATGTAGAAGAAAAAGAAATACATGCGACAGGCCAAGTTTTGTTAGAAACAACAAACAAAAAAAAATGGAGAAGGCTATTAACAGCAAGAACGTGAATGAAGTACGAGCAGCAGCACGTGTGATGCTTATTAGTGTTAAATGTTCAAAAGCAAGAGGAAGCGAAAAAGAAGGAATCTGAAAACATCCAGAATAATCTTAATAAAAGAACATCATCTTTCATGACTGATTATTTACAGAAGCCAAAGAGTTTTTAAGTATTCACGGTTTACTGGAAATACAGTAGCCACTTGTTATCAGGAGACAGAAAAAAAACGCGATATAACCGAGTAATAAAAATTCTGGGCTTTTACTAGACAGATTATACATGTTATGGAATCTCTATTCTTTCATCATTAAGTGTTTCTGATATAAAATAAGCTTAGTTTTTCAATCCTGAATTTTATTCGTGGTTATATCGTATTAATTGACGTTTACGTAAACATCGATACCATGAACGCCCATTTAGCATTATTGTTTCTTTAACAATGACATTGAAAGACAAATACTGTCGATATAAAAACAAATCAATTGCGATTTTATTATACAGTACTATATAAATCGCTTATTAGAAATTCGTGTAGTTTATATTTTTCAATAAAAATTATAAATGCTGTAATTGAAAATTTAAAAAAAATATTGAATGTATAATAGAACATCAAAACTTATAAAATTACAGAGTAAAAATTCTTTAATTAAAAAGTAAAATAAAGTTACTACTGTATAAAAATTTTAGAACTTTCCTTTCAGAATTAAGAAATCTTTTCCTTACACGTTATGCTGTGAATTCGAAATTTCACACCTCTGTGTGAATTGAAGCAATACCGTTAATTCACATAAAGATGTGAAATTTCGAATTTACAGAAACTTGTAAATGAGGAGACAGTACTTAAAACTAATAAATAAACAACTTTTTTATTAAAAGGAAACAAATGATAATCGATCCATCCACTTGTTCTGCATATGTAGATCTTGGCGAATTTATTGTTTCACCTTCAGTGGTAGTTTCAAGGACAATAGTGGAAATAAAATACCGTATTTCGTTGCAAATAGAAATTCAGTGACAATTGGTAATTTAAAAGTTATTGACTCAAATGCTTTTAAAATTCGGGGGACCAAAAATGCGCGATATAACGACTGTATTACAGTATATACAGAAATTTTAAAAATGTGTTTAACCATAACAGAATAAAAAGAAAATAACAACTTTTACTGTTATTTTGCTGAGTTTTCCTTCCATTTTTTCACTTTGTTTTGTCACTATTGCACTCACTTTTTATTCACTTTTTCTGTATTTCAACTCGCTTTTCTCACTTTTTCAGAGGGGAAATTGCACTCCTAGGCCTGTATTCAGCTCTGTTATATATAATAGAGAGAAAGTACAGCAATTAGTCAAAAAATGTCCCCCTTCACATTTTTACATTTTTTGGTCTCTGGTACTTGAAACATAGAGAGATGCAAAAAAATTTGGGCAGTTTTTCTTCATGTGTTCATATGGCACAATTTTGTTCGCTCTCTTTGAAGCTTAACAACTCCTGTGGTTTTTGTTGAAAACTTCTGAAATTTTGCAAGAAGGTTTGTGTATTAGGGAGATTGATGCTATTAAATTTTGGTGGTTGAAGGTTGGAGTGAGGAGATAGAGGGTCATGTTTCATATCTTGAGTAGGATTGGACTTAATGACAATTTTACTTGTTATTAGCATTTACAATTTTTATAAAACCAATCCCTACCATCAAAATTAAGCTTTTTGCCATTTTATTATAATTAAAAATATTAAAAAAAATTTAATAAATTATCATAACAGATGGTGCCACACAAGCAATTGGAAATGTTGCTGGGAAAGTTAAGCAACTTGTTATTGGATTTTTATTATAATTAATAGATTTTCATTGAAAAGTATAGATTCCAACTCCATAGCAGAATATGCTTAGCACATAAAGCTTATTTTATACTTTAGTTGCAACATATTTTGATCAATTAGTGAGTTGAGCTGGTGGTGGTTTTGCTTATTCTGCTTGTATAAAAAACTATGCAGATTGGATTCCAAATTTTTTAGCAATGGATGAACGACATGTGAGCAATGTTGTTAGGTTTGGTGATATTTCAAGCCATTTAGTGATTTGGCAATGACATTTTCAATCTACCAATTTTTTTTTTTTTGTACAATAATAAATTTATTTAGGATATACTGTAAAATCTCATTATTTCGATATCAGATAATTTGAAGTCTAATCTAGACTCCAGCCAAGAGAATAGGATTTTTCATATATTTTAGTTCAGATAATTCAAAATATACATATAATGAAATTCAAAGTCATTATTTGGTCCGGTGACCCATAAAAATATTGTTTAGTTTGAAATTTTCCATTATATCATGTGTTTATAAGGAAAGTTTCCATGCCCAAGGGGCAGTTTCATTTTTGGTTTTACTAATTACATGTTGATTTATTGGACATCTGTTCAAAGCCATTCAGACATTGTACGTATTGCCAATGAAAAGAAGATTTGGACTTTTTTCTTCTAAATGCTATTGTTTCAATAATTCCAAAGTTCATTAAATACACATGCATATTTAGGATAGAATGTGTACATAGCTTTAGCCATTAATAGAGATTGTTTTCATCAGATCACATGATTTTTGTAATCTCAAACTCAAAATGGTAAATTTTTCATAGAACTAGCCATTGGTCCTCTAGACAAAATTCACAGGTAATTTTCATTGAAACACTTAAGCTTCTTTCTTACATTATTTGCGGATCTTTCTTTAAATGTAATTTTATTTTTATTAAGTACATATCGAATAACGGTTTTTTCAAAATAGCTTAAATTACTGAGTAATAACTTTTAATATTAACACATTTGTAACCAAACTAGTGAAATTATATAAGATAAAATCATAAATGTATTCAGGAATTACAAAACACATTTGATTTGAAAAAAGTTCAGATAATTTATAGTACTGTTTTTTTGGTCCCTTGAGTTTCAAAATAACGAAATTTTACTGTGTTTGAATTCTTTTTCTATAAAAATAGAGCTGGAGTCAGGTCTAGGCAAAGTAGACAATTACAGCTTCCGAGAGTTCAAATCCAAAAGAGCCTGTAAATCAATTTGTAAAGTTTTATTTTTTTATATTTGAATTTAAATGGTTAGTGAACAAAATGAATATTCTCTAAATCAATTAGCTTTTGGGCTTCATTTACCATTGACTGCTGAAGAGTATGGATAAAAGTAAGTATCTGATTGGTTTTAAAATTATTGGATCATATTGACAGAATTTAATATTGTATCATCTGTATTGTAAATACTTAACACGTGCATATGCATAAATGTGCAATTCCAAGTAAGTTTTTTATAACTTAAAAATTTATCTTTACAATATTGATATACAGTAGTTACATGGTATAGTTGCCATTATAGATTCTTGGTTTGTTTTACTTTCAATGACATTTTTTGGTTTTGTTGTTTTTCTTGGAGTTTTCAGAGAGTTTTTATTATAACAGCTGATAGAAATTCATATCTAATTTAAGATGATGCAAAATTTTAGTAACTGTTGTAATTGTTAACATCTAATAGAGAATTTGATTAATATTTTATTAAATTTTTTATTAGAGAAATTAAAATTATAAGTTTTTTCCATTTATATCTATATATGATATTCTTTTTCAGAGTTTAAAACAACTATATATGCTTGTGCTTGGACTTGATGTCATTGGAAATCCTGTTGGTTTATTATTTGGTTTAAGTGAAGGTGTTGGTGATTTCTTTTATGAACCATTTCAAGGAGCTATACAAGGACCAGAAGAATTTGCTGAAGGATTAGCACTTGGAGTAAAAAGCTTGTTTGGACATGCAGTTGGTAAATTAATTTATTATAGGATTGATCAAAAAGTACATTTTTGATTGATTGATTGATTGGCATGAAGAAAATGAATAAATTTTGCAGATTGATTGGCATGCTGCATATTACTGGGGGAGACCAGCATGCTAGAAATCTAGGGAGACCAGCATGCTGGAAACCCAGGGTTACCAGCATTCCAGCTAAACTGCAACTAAAAAATAAAATTAATCAGATCTCAAACAAAACTAATTGTTAATTAAATGTTACAAACATCTTTCTGGATGCAATAATATAATAACATTGTATTATGACTGACTTAAAATCAGGAAGAAAAGTTTTTGTTTACAGGACAATGAAACAATTAGCAGTGTATTGACAGTAGTAGTAGTAGTAGTAGTAGTAGTAGTAGTAGTAGTTAGTCAGTGTGAGCTGCACTGACAATCTACCTGACCTTAAAAATAACACCTTCCTCTCAAATTTCACACATAGTGGATGTTAATAGATGTAAGTTGAGATAATTTACAGTCAGTTTCTGAAATTTAATGTGTTTTATTTTTGTGTTTTTGATTGAATTACAATAAAATAAACATAAAAAAGCACTTTCCCACATTTCATAAGTATTTTACATTGTTAGAAAGAAGACAAAATGAAGAAATTAAACACATAATTATAATTTTTGATGTCATGCTGACAATTTCAAGTTTTAGAATAAAAATTTATTCATTTTCTTCATGCACCCTCTAGGGAGGGATGTATAACCTCACTTAAACTGATATGTCAGCATTCCCTTGGGATAAACTGCCATTCCAGTTTTTACCATATGAAAATATCTGATTTCATGGCCTTTCCGGATAGACCAACATGCCAGACAGTCCACAAAAATACATTAATAAATTTTGAAAATTAAAAAATAAATCTATTAAATTATATATGCACCTTTTGTTTTCTATTCCTTACATCCATTATCTCACATGCAAAGAATTTTTGGAATTTTTCATCAAAAAATGCCTCTAGGTGGTATTTTACATTGTCTAAGTTACTGAACTTCTTTCTCTGCAAACTATTCTGGAGAGATGAAATAAATGATGATCTGAAGGTGCAAGATTGGGAGAATATGGGGTAACACAAAACATCCCAGGACACAGAATTGTCATGCTGGAAAGCCAAACCTTTTCTTCTTACTAATGCTCAGTTTTTTTATGGTTGCCTTCAGATTAACAAATAGGAAACACTACTACTATGAATTGATGGTCTGATTTTGAGGTAGCAGTTCATAAAAGATAATTTCCTGCTAGTCCCTCTAAATGCTCAGCATAACCTTTTTTGGATGTGAATCAGCTTTTGACTACATTGCAGAAGGGTCAGTTGACTTTCTCCCTGATCTTTTTCATTACACATTATTGTAAACAGTCTATTTTTCATCACCAGTAATTTGTTGCTTAAAAGAGAATCCATCTGGTTATATTTCAACAGAAAATTACAGGCAGATATTCTGTCTATCAGATTTCTCTCACTCAATTAATGGGGTACCCAAACATCATAGCACAATATATATCTTAAATTTTGGCTAATATTCAATTCCTGAATGATAGAAAATATTTCTGCAATTTCTCTAGTGGTGTAATGTGGATTCTCATGAATTAATGCAGTGATTTCATCATTATCAACAGCTAAGGATCTTCCAGATTGTGGTGCATCTTCTAAAGAATGATTCCCTGTATGGAATCTCTTAAACCACTTTTGATATGTGCAGATATTGACAGCAGCTTCCCCATAAACAGCACAGATCCTTTTTCATGCAGTTGTGGCATTTTTCTTTTTATCTAAGTACAAAAGCATAAGATGAAGAAAATGCAAGTTAAGACCCTCCATTTTTTAAAATTTGAGTATAACCATAACAAAAATGAAAAATTTTTATTTGTAATATATGTTACAGAATGTTAGGTTGAAACCAACAAAAACAATTAAATATAAATTGTCATTAATAACCAGTAATCACTACTAGCAGCATCTTACATTTAAAAAAATGAACTTTATCAACCCTATATATTGAAGATTAAATTTAAAAAAAATTATTTTATGAAACATAATATAAAAGTACAATAAAAGTTAAGTATTATTACTTTTATTACACTCAGTACTTATCATTTTTATTGTTATTTTAAAGCATTAAAATATAATTATGAAACATTGTAATATGTATAATAATTTCTTAGTGCATGTAAGATAAATTACTAAAAATATTACAATGAAAGTCTACATAAGGAAACAAAATGTCACAGACCAAATGACTTAAGGTGATTTTCATAATAACAAAATAATTTATTAGAGAAATTAAAATAAAAAAGCATATTAAAACTCAAAATATACAAAAAATACACAACACACAAATTGGCATAAACACATTCAAAAAGAGAATAACTTCAAGTGCATTCTTAAAACAAAAATGAAAGTATCTGAAATTAGCCTAGCTCAACCTGATTAGTCAAATATAAATAAGCATGCTACCATATAAAGTACACTTAATAGCATTTTCTCCATGTAGGATGTCATCTCTGGTGACATCAAAGTTTAATCAAGGGAAACAGCTTTAAGATTTCATCTAGACGATCTGCATTATCTCACCAGCATAGTGCATGTTCTAGAAGAAGCAATGATATTAATTTCACATACATATTTTAATTATTTAATTAGCATTTTGTTTTATTCTGATTTTAGAGTTTTGTTATAAAGACAGGATAGTTGTAATTTCATAGCTAGCATCCAGTCATTGACAAAGCACACTACACACCAAAATAGTGGCATAAAAGTCCTTGGAAATATAAATCCCTCTCAAATTATTCAGTTGGTAAAGCATTTAGTGATATTTAGATACTGTAACATTGTTTGTCATACTATTGAGCCATCAAAATATATGTTCAAACCAGATTTCAAGTCTCATCCAGCTGAGTATACAAAGATAAAGAATAATTTTTTAACATGTTTGGAATTAAATGATTTTAGTCATATTATAGAATTCTTTAAATTTTTTTTTATTTTGAAAATGACGTTTTTCAAAAAAGATCAGTTTAATTCAAACTACCACCAGATTACATCAGGCTACTTTTCCACATTGATTGGCTTATTACTAAGATATCAAGTTTTGAGATGTTTGTATAATCACTTTAATTCAGCAATAATTAAGTTTGTTATTTTGTTCTATTAAATTTTTACCTAATTATAAATAATTATTATGTCATTTGTTTCATTTTCATGATTATGTTGATTACTAGCAAATTATGCTCAAAAATTAATTTTATTGTAGGTGGTGCAGCAGGAGCAGTATCTAGAATAACTGGTACTTTAGGAAAAGGCTTGGCTGCATTAACATTAGATGAGGAATACCAAAAGAAACGTAGACAAGTGCAAAGTAGAAGACCACAGGATCTTCGACAAGGATTGGCTCAAAGTGGAAAAGGACTTGTTATGGTTTGTTAGATTTGTTATATTTAGTGTTGAGTTATATATTTGTAATTTTGAAATTGAATGTTGATGAGTGTATATATTTATTTTAATTCATACTTTGACAACATTCAAATCAATAAAATAGAATCATTTTTAATTTGTATTTTCTTAAACAAAAATATATATACTTTTTAATATTATAGGGTGTATTTGAAGGTGTGACTGGTATAGTAACTAAACCAATAGAAGGTGCAAAAGAAGGCGGTGCTGGTGGATTTTTTAAGGGAGTTGGAAAAGGCTTACTTGGAGTGGTGGTACGTCCTACATCTGGTGTTGCTGATTTTACCAGTGAATCACTAGAAGCAGTAAAGAGGTAAATATATATATAAATTCTTATGATTTACAGAAAAATTTGTTTACATTTTGATTAATATCAATATAATGAATAATTTCAATATTTATTGTTTGATGGTATAATATGAAATTGAACAATGTGTATTAAATTGATTTCAAGTAAGTAATAGTAAATGTAATGTTTTTTCTATTTTATATTTATTATGATAAATTTATCTATAAATACAATATAGATTTATTTACTTTTGTTCAGGTTTTTGAATCACTTCTTACAAGGATAAGTCAAAGTAGAAAGATGATTTATTTTTTTATTAAATAAAAAAAAAAGTACTAAAATTTTTGCATTTTTTTGCTTCTTCAAACACTTCTCACACAGTAAATTTTACATGCTTTAAATCAAAACAAACTAGACTTTTGGCATTGTGTTTTTAAACAATACACAAACTTTTTTATACCTTCAAACTAAGCTCATTCCGAAGCTGTACATTTCTGCCAATGTCTGTACCACTTGTCAAAGTGGGTCTGGAAGCCATTTTTTGTAATGTCTTTAAGAGCTTTGATCACAGCAGCTTCTATATCCAGCATTCCTGGTTAATAAATATCTGATAAAGGGCATAAAATGCATACTCAATCTCTACACCCATGATCTTGTTTTCAAGCTTTTATCTGTTGCTAAAATGAAAAAGAAGTTGAAGAATTGCAGATATGAATCAGCAATAGAGGTAGAAGTTCAGCAACAAGAACTCATAAGAACATCACTAAAAAAAGATAGGTTTCAGGATTGCTTTGACAACTGGTATGGATGCTGATATAAGTGTGTAACTATAGTGGAAGCTTTTTCTAAAGTGGTATGATGTAAGAGTTTGTATGTGTTGTTTAATAAAATTTGAGACAAAAGGTTGGCTCATTTTTGACTCTACCTTATATATATTAACTCTTGTTAAAAGAAAAGAAAAGAAAGAAATAATAGCAATTTTTTGACATTTTATTGGTTTTTTAATTACATGTTTTCATATATTTATATTTATACATTCATTTATAATGGATTTATATATTCATGTATACACTAATTATCAAAAATATTTGGACAGCTTGTCCAAAATCTATCTATTAAATCTAAGAATATTAATAAACAATGGATACATCCTTTGTTGCTATCACTGCTAGATTTTTCGTTAGATGTAGGTTTCTACTGGAATTATCTTCTACTTCCATATAAGAGCTTCAGTTATATCAACTACTAAAATTGAACGCAGAAGCGCCACTAGCTGTTTGAATGCCCGAATGCAATACCGATTATGCCGCCCCCTGTTTAACTATGACTACCTACACTGAGCTTGCCAGAAAGGCTCTTTAGTGTTGTCTCTTAAGGGTGTGAAAAAAGAAAAGAAATACTTTACAAAGAAAAACTATTTATTTTTATTACTAAATTATTTTTGTTTACTTAGGTGTAAAACCATATAAATATTTATCTACAGAAATTTAACTCTTCTAGCCTTTATGTTTGCGAAATCTGCTATCAATTTTCTTGTATCCAAGCTGTCTAAGATTTTACATTCAATTGAAACTATAGCTAAATTAGTCTTTGCTGGTGCATTGTTGATCTTAAATAGTTTTTTTTTTATAATTTTTAACTTTGAAAAGGACCTTTTACCAAATGCAGCTGAAACCGGCAATGTAAGTAATATTCTTACTGCTATTGCTGTGTTCAGAAATGTTGAAATTAAGTCATTAGTAAAAAGATATTGTAATTGCCACCCCCTGGACATGCTGCCCGCATGCGGTGCACACCCACTTACGGCAGGCCTGATTGAACGGATTGCTTTGGTTCTCAGTTGGCATTCCAATTCTTTCCAAAGATGTTCAGTAGAGTCTTAGCTCTCACGGTTTTGAGAGTTGTGAAGTTATTCCATATTTACCTCATTAAACCATTCTTTTTACAGAGCTTATTTAGTGATCAGAAGCTTGTTGAAACATTAAAAGTGCCTTCTCAAAACTGTTATCACAAAATAAGAAAAAACAAAAGTTATCCAGAATGTCAATGTAAACTAGAGCATCAATTGTTTGCTTCATGAAGAATGAGACATACCCAAACCTGAAAAACACATCCAGACCATAATATCTATGCCAAACTTCACAGCTGGTACAACATACTTAAGCAAGAATTGTTCTTCTGGAATTTGCTAAACCCAGACCCCATCCATCAGATTTCCAAATACTGTGCCTTGTTATTTCTCAGAACATTTTTCCTTTGACTCCAGTGACCATGAACTTTATACCTCTCCAGCCAATGCTTGGTCATGGAAATTCAATTTTTTTAGAAGTTTCTATCAAACAGTTTTTATTCTGACAAAACTGTTTGAAACTAAGTAATAATTTGTTCAAGAGAAGAGAGATGGTCTTTTTTTATGCTAAGTATTTGGCAGTCCTTGGTGTGTTTTCAGAAAATTTAATATTCAAAAATTCAAATGGATATTAAATGAGATATGAACACTTCTATTCTGTTAATTTTCTTCTTTCCTTTAAGACGTAATAGATACATTTATTTATTTTATTTGGCACAAAAGTGCCACCTGGTTTCTCATAGCATTACCAGGCAGTGGCTCATCCATTGAGTGTGAGATTGAACTTGTATGCATTACATTGCATGTATGTACAGTGAATACAATGGCAAACAACAGAGGTAGTACAATTATCAAAGGATAGTAGTTACTAAATTAACATTATATATTGCAGAGGACAAAAGTTTTGTAGATGCATAATGGTGTAAACACAAAGCTAATCAATGTACAAAATTATTTACAATAAAATCAGTCATATGGATAAAATAACATTAAATAATATAACATAATGTAATATAATATAGAGTAAGGTGAGATGAAGTAATGTAAACATATAAGAGAACAGTTGTGTAGTAATATACAGAAAAATGTAGTATACCAAACTGTTCTATAATCACAATCAAGGAGTCCATGAAAGAAGCACTAGGTGTTTCACTACGGTGTTGTATAGGGTTTCTCATTTCCCGGTATTTTGCTTGTCCCGGGATCCCGGGATAAAAGTGAACTGTTTCCCGGGATAGAATTAATTATTTTTAAGGTATACAAAATATCTTGAAATCAAATGATATAATTATTTTCCATTTTTTAAAGTAATTTTAAAGTTCCGTAACCTCCAAAATCATATTAATAATGCTGTGTAAGGTCTATAGGCCTATAATAAAAATTACCTTTAAATAACGTAGAAATTTTCACAAATAGAAAAAAATTAATTAAAGTTTGCTGGAAACTGCATACAACAACAACAACAAAAAATGTTTTGAATTGAGTTAAAAATTAAAAAAATGAACTTCTAATTTAGAAGGTAATTTTCGTTTTTTAAATAAAATATAATACAAAATATTGCAAACTTTTATAAGATTTTAAAAAGCAAAGATGGTCAATACTCCGATAACTCACTCTAATTCTTATTTTAGTAATGAAAAGTCTTGCCACCGAGAATGCCCTTTCCGATTCAATTGATGTGATTGGAATAGTGTTTAATGCATTTAAGAGAAGACAGATATTATGTGTTTTTTCACCTGTAGCCTGGAAGCTTTCGAGTTCGTTTTCGAGATTGTAGTACTTCTTTCGCTCTCTAGTATTCTTGATTTGTCTACCTTGGCTGCTTTAATAGCGGCATCAAGCTTAGTGCTCGATAATTCGGCAATTCATTTGGCTTTAATAATCAGGTTTATGAAGAAAAACTTCATACTTGCAGACTTTGTACTCGTTTGTATCCTTGCCCAATTTGCACAATCTGGCGTCAGGCATTTATTGAAGCTACTGGGCATGGTTAAAACTCAAGACAGCGTAAGCACAATTATTCCAGATATTACAGGTTCTGACAAATAAAGAATTTTTATAGTCATGCCACAAATAAGCTATATATTGATTATTGACCATTTGTGACATGCTATAACGAGCAAAAATTTAAAAAAACTAATAGGTAGGTTTAAAATTAATAAATACAAATGTATTTTGGCAGTGAATGAGTTAATTATGCTTTCTATTTGCAAAACTCCTCAACCTTAACACAAAATAAGAAAAAAAGTGAATTTTTAAGAAATTTGCGGGATTTCCTGGGATAAGAAAAATTTCCCGGGATATTTCCTGGGTTAAAAAAACAACCGGGATCCCGGAATCCCGTTTCAGAAACCCTAGTGTTGTAGCAAGGTTGTTGTAAGCATTTCTTAGGTTGTAGAGATGTCCATAGGTGTACTCATTTTGAACCAGCTGCTTGCAGTCACAAGGCCAGTTACCCTCACTGTCCAGCACAGCTAGCCTGAGGAAGTGCCTAAGCTTTTTGAGAATCAGGTGGTTGAAAATATAATGCTGACTGCCATCAGTAGAACCACAATATGAATAGTAGTTTGTGTCACCAAAGGAGAAGCAAGCTAGATAGCTGTTGAGCCTTCCGTGGCCAGTGTAAAACTGTGTAGTATAAAAGTCTGGCACTATTCATGAAGCCTGATAGAGATCCCTAATGTTTAGGAAAAAGCTGTAGGTAACAGCATTATATTTACTGACCCAGGATTGTTGCAATCTATTCAGAAGATCTTCCCACAGCATGAGATTGGCCCAAGAAATTGGAAACTTATTGTAACTAATTTCTGGGGTGAAATTATTGGCAGCAGTTTTATCAATAGTATCAGCATGCTCATTGCCAATGTCCCAACATTCTCCTTAGTCCAGGAGATGGAATAAATGTTATTTGCGATTAGGGTGCTGTGAATCTCAGTGGCCAGTGGGTAAGAAGTCTGTTTGCAGGTTAAGTTAATGACAGCCTCACTATCTGTGAGAATAGATACTCTTGTTGTTGTATCTGGTGGTTGTCCATTGAATTGCATGGAGAATGACCAGAATCTCAGCCTGCACTACACTGCAGTTGGAGTGAAGTCTGTATTATTGAAAGTACAGTTCAAGTCTGTTTTGGTATATAACAAAGTCGCAGCTGTTGCCCTCCGTGCATTTTGAGCCATCAATATAGACTAATAACTCAGGATTTTTTTTAAGGTGACAAGGCCAGGATTTATTGAGTTGTGAATGAACATTGAAGTCTCAAACTGATCAGCAGAAAGATGGCCAGTGCTGATATTGATGTCATTGCTATGTTGTAGCTTCATCTTTGTAGAGAACATCAGTATTATGAGGTTGATGGGTGGTTTTCCTGGAGATGGTCTAAAGGTTCTTGGTGGAACAGGTGTTGTAGCTCTTTGCAATGTTTAAAAGAGCCATTTTTTGTGCAGACAACAGAAAATTTTTAATCAGAAATAATGGATATTACTTTGAAAAGTTTTTAAAAAATTAAACCATTAAACCAAAGAATTTTTGTTGAAATCAATATTTGAACTAAATTGCATGGTTTATTGGTTCTAATAAGAATTCAATAGTTTTTTTACTCTTGAACTCTCTCTATCCTGTAAGTATTAAGAGGGTCTTTTAATCATACAACAATTTTAATCATCATCTCTGTAAGTGAATGTTATGTTTTGTTGGTTTGTCACTGGTGTTGTGAAATGACAGATTATGAGGACAAATTTTTGTATTATTCAATATATTTTTAATTTATAAAAATTTATTGTTGGTTATTTTTAATGAACTATATATTTATTTGTTTTAATGGGAATTTTTTAACAAAAATTTACTGTATATTGTGTTTACTTATCATCATAAAATAGTAAAAAATAATATCATATGCTGATTTTAATTTTGTGATTTATATATTACTCTATTCAATATTTAGGTTATATCAGGATGTTAATGATAAATAATTTATATTTCATTTCTACTTTGTATTTCATGCTACATTAATTATATTTCTGTTTTTTTATTATAATAAAAAATTGAAAGTTAATTTTTTTTTTATTAATTACAAGAGCTACAGAACTCTCTGATGAAGTTAAACGTGTTCGTTCACCTCGATTTATAAGAACAGATGGAATTGTTAGACCTTACAGTAAAATAGAAGCAGAAGGATTTCAATTATTTTGTGTAAGTTTTTATTAATTTTAAAATAAATTTTAATACTTAATAGAAGATATGAGGGATGATGTGTTTGAAGATATGAGAGATGATGTGTTTAATATGAAGATATAAGGGATGATTGTTATTGTTCTTCTGTTGTTTGGCTGTGTTTTATATATATATATATTTATTTATTTATTTATTTTTTTGACATTTGGAAAAGGCCAATGGTCATAGTGTCATTAAAGATTAAAGATAATCAAAGAAATTAGAGTGATTTTATTATGGTAACATTGGAAAAAGATCTACAAAGAAAGTAGTAGTTTTATTTTGTCAGACATTTCTTTCCTAGATCTCTTGATTAATTTCTAATATCTCTTAAAACTTTCTTTTTAAATTTCTTCTTATTGAACCCTGTTAAAAATTATATTAAATTGAAAAAATATTAAGAGAGTACATTATTAATGAATTTTAGTAAATAGAGCATTTGATCATCATCATCATCATCATCATCATCATCATCATCATCAACCGTTATCAATCCACTGCAGGACAAAGGTCTCCCTAAGCCTCTTTTACAATCTTTTGTTTTGAGCACTTCATTTCCATGTTGTGCCAAGATGCCTCTTGATCTCGTCAACCCACCAAGTGTGAGGATGTCTTCTTGGACGTTTTCAATCTCTTGGTATTCAATCAAGAACTTCAGATGTCCAGCAATGGTCAGTTCTTCTTGCAATATGTCCAGCCCACTGTCACTTGAGGGATTTTACTCTAGTGATGATATCACTAACTCCTGTCATTTTCCTGATCCATGTTATAGGTTTCCAATCTCTCCTTGTTATGCCAAACATACACCTTTCCATGTTCCTTTGGGTAGTCTGTAGTCTTTGGATCTCTGATTTTCTAAGAGTCCAAGTTTCTGATCCACAAGTGAGAACTGACAAGACACACTGATCAAAAACCTTGTGTTTCAGGCACAGGAACATCTGTTGATTTTTCAAGACTATATTATTCATATTATAAAGTCTCTGTAAATCCGCACGAAAAATATATAAATTTTAGGTTTAGCGGTAGACCAACACACAGCAGATGGCTAATTACTTCTCTTTATTTAATCACTGTATATGCATTTCGGTCCTATTAAAGAACCCTCTTCAGTACTACAAAATATAAATATTATAATAAACCTTATGCGAGTAAAACTACCAATGTAACAATTAATATTTTAGTTTTTCATTACCATTTAAGTACACAGCTTGGATTCACATTCCATTAGCACTTTCATATCAAGTGTATTTAGTAACGTTTTCTGATTGTCTATGGTCGTATTTCTAAATTACTATAATAAATATTATTCTAGATTAAAACATTATCTATAATTATTCACAACAATTCCAAATTTTAAAAAATCCCTTTTAAAAAATAAATTTTAAAAAACATTTTTCACAAGATTCTTAAAATGGTGATTAAATATAACTTATAAAATTTAATTTTTAAGTAACATACCGTTTACAATAAATCATACTCTAGGCTTCTGTTCAACGGTCCGTCGTTGGTACAATTCTAAATGACACACCCCCTTTGACTATTCTACGTCATGACATCATCTGTCAATTTCCTCTACTACAGAATACCATCTTTGATCTATTTGCATTCCGTTAGATACATTTATTAATTGATTGTTATTTTTATTATTATATTTCATTATTTCAACATGCTCTTTAAATTTTCTCTTATAAATATTCTTTTCATTATGTAATATTTGTACATTATTTTTATCTAATTTACAATTATTATTCTGAATTACGTGATTATACCATGGTGAATTATTATTTTTTAACCGTATAGCGGCCTCATGTTCTTTAATACGTTTTTCTAATTTACGACCTGTTTCACCTAT